CTGAGACAGTGCAGGGCTGCGAGAGGCTGGGCTGGCCCTCAGCCTGGACAGACGGGCAGCCTGCGCCAGGGGCATGAGGCAGCTCCCTGAGAGGACCACGGGGACCCTGGGCATCCCCTGGACACCTCTTGCTGAGGTCCAGCTGGCCATGTGCTCACAGCTCACTGGACAGGCAGCTCCCCTTTCCATCTGCTCCCAGGACCGGGGCCACCCCCCTTTTACGGGGACCAGGCAGGCTGAATGGTACCCCTTGACCATACCAGGGGCTCACTGGCCATTCCACAGGACGTCCCGCTCCTGGCCACGGCCCTGAGACGGGCCTCTTGGGTGAGCTGGACCCAGAACCAGGGAGGCTAGAACACACTGCCATCCCCACACTGACCTGCAGCTCCGTGGCCACAGAGAACAGCCCCCCCCACTGGACAGTGTGGCCCCCAGGAGAGGTGGGGTGCCCTGCAGAGGAGCCCGCACTACCCAGGAGGGGCTGAGATCAGGGGCGGCGGCTTTGATTTGGGTGGGCAGTGATATGGAGCTGGGCTGCTGGGGGGACAGAGTTGGGCAACGGACAAGAGGGACCTGCTGAATTCAAACCTGCGAGAGCAGCTGGGGCGAGGGGCCCTGGCATCCCGAGCAGGAGGCCACAGGCCCCATAGCCGGCTGGACACCGGCCCCAGCCACGTGAGATCAGCTGGCGCCAGGGGAGGGGGCCGTCCCCCCTCCCTAACTTCAGCCCCAGGCGAGAACAAGGCCCCGAGTCGGGGAAACCTAGGACCAGCAGTGCGCAAACCAGCCACCTAAGGTCCCTTGCAGCCAAGTGACATTTGCACGGTGGCACCCAAGCTTGGCAGGGCAGCTGCAGCCACCTGCCAGGGAGGACAGAGAAGCCCAAGGGGAGATACCAGGGACCCCGCCCCCTCGGACAGGAGGGGGGCGGTGGGGAGCACTCTGCTGGAGGCGGGGCCGGTGGCGGGCGGGGCCTCGTGGGCTGGGCGGCCCCGTGGGCGGGGCCTCCGGTGGGCGGGGCCGCGGCGGTGGGCGGTCCAGGCCGAGCCTCCGGTGCCGAGAACCCAGAGCAGTCCTAACCCACAGTGGAGGGAAACTGAACCCCGTTCTGGACGTTAGCTCCGACCTGCCGCAGTCAGCTAACAGATAGGGCCGGGGTGCGCGCCGAGTCCGGCTGCGGGTGGAGACCACGCGGGAGGTTGTCCGCGGGACACAGCTGACCCGGGAAGCGCCCGGGCCTGAAGGAGCGGGAGGTGGCCGCAGAAGGCGGCTGGGGTGGCGTCGGAGGGGCCGCGAGGACCTGTTCCCGGAGAGCTGCCGCCCGGCCCCCGAGCTGCTGGCCACCTCGACGAGGGACGTCCCCAGGGCTTCTTGGGCAGAGCCCTGGGTAGAGAGCGCTGGCGGGCGGGGAGCGGGCAGCCGCAGCCAGCGGGTGCCAGGGGC